GGCTCTATTGGGAGTGAAGAGGCTGCCGGTCTAAGGATGGCATAGTGCGGATGTCCAACACTCAGACTCAGACTGTGCTCAACCACAAACTTTTGCGGTTTTGGAGCATCACTGCAAGATGGTCAACAACTTGGAGAAACTGGAATCCGTGCTCAAATATTGAAAGAAATCGCAGATTTGGCTGATCGACGGCACTTAAGAGACATAAGCCATGGACTCAAGGCTGTCTTAAATTCTTGGGCAGCCTGCTACCAAAACAACATCTGCTATCTCGACCTTCCCCTGATGAAAGTACGCACGGAAGCTAGTGCCCCACCATCACCCCCTCCTTCTCGGCCATAGACTGATATGCCAGGACCTCGACGTACCAGCTGTGGCCTGACACGCACACACAACCAGAGAATCACTCGCGCATACACTCCCTTCACCGCCTTCATTGTTTATGTCTTGTGACCTGTTGTAACTGTCATATGCTTGTGCAGGAGTTTTTTTGTCTAACTCAAATTATCCTCAAAATGAGGATAGTTCGAGCGTGGTTTTTTTCTCCCCCTCTCCCTCCCATGTGGTTTCTTTCTGACTTCTGGGTTGAGTGAACGCTGGCGCGTTTGACTGCTGCTGCTCAACCCGTATTGTTTTGTGTTTTATTGTTTTTGTTATTGTAAAGTGTCCTTGGGCGTCTTGAAAGGCGCTTATAAATAAAATGTATTATTATTATTATTATTATTATTAAATTAATTCTTAAAAAATGGACAGTCTAAGATTTAGGGGAATGACCGCATTTGGTCATTGGTCAAAATCTCACAAATTACCGTATTTTCCGGACTATAAGTCCTCGCTGCCCATCTTTAAAACCCGCCTCATAACTCACTTGTATTCTTTGGCATTTGACTCAGCATGACTCAGATTTGTTCTTGGTTTTGCTGTTCGATGCTTTCTACCGTCTTTGTTACTGATTTGTTGCTTTACTGTTGTATATGTTAGTTGCTCCATGTACAGCACTTTGTATGCAGCGATGGCAGTTTGAAAGTGCTCTATAAATGAGTTGAGTTGAGTTTTTTTCATAGTTTGGCTGGGGGTGCGACTTATACTCTGGAGCGATTTCTGGGTGAAATTATTAACTCATTATTATGTTATTTTCACATTTAACCACAAGAGGCCGCTCTAGACCTGTGTTGATGAAACCACGATGAGTCTGACGTCAGCGGCGTAGAAAAGGAAGCGCTGCATCTTCTACCTCCGGAGTTGGTGGAGTTGTTTTAAAGTGACACAGAGGATGAAGATTTCATTGGATTTCGTGATTTGGAGTGACAATGATGGTTTGGTGAACTTGTTAGCATGTTCTTTAAGCTATAGTTATCTGAATAACTCTTAATATGTTACTTGAACATACCAGGCACGTTCTCAGTTCTTTGTTTATGCGTCATGTAAGGTTAGCATGTCGTACACTTATTCAGCGTGTTGTTTTCTATTTTATTTTAATTTTAAATTGCCTTTCAAGATGGCATGTATGTTCTTGGTGTTGGATTTTATCAAATAAATTTCCCCCCAAAATGCGACTTATACTTCAGTGCGACTTATGTATGTTTTTTTTGTTCTTTATTATGCATTTTATGGCTGGTGCGACTTATACTCAGGAGCGATTTATAGTCCGGAAAATATGGTAAATAGATTTGGGAAATTACATTTAATCTTGAAAAAGTTACAAAAGTGAATTTTCCTCACCAAGAAAGAAAATGTTACTCTTCACTGAGGATATTAAGTCAAACTTGAAATAGATAGATACGTAGAAAAAAACTCCTCCACGATGTTCCTTACTGCTGTAAAACAAGAAGAAGTATCAAATGTTGTAAAAACTTTTAAAAATAAAAAGTCAACCGATTGCTTTAATATTGATATGACAAATATAAAGCAGATTATAGAATATGTAGTGCGACCTTTCACGCACATATGCAACCTGTCATTCAAAGCTGGTATCTTTCCATCAAAAATGAAAATTGCTAAAGTTATTCCAATTTATAAAAGTGGAGAAAGACATCTGTTTACAAATTATAGACCAATATCATTACTACCACAATTTTCAAAAATATTAGAAAAACTATTTTCTCGCAGACTTGATAGCTTTATACAAAAACATGCGCTGTTCTTTTGTACTGTCTGTACACCTCTAACTGTACACCTCTGACCTGTCCACCCCTCCAATCATATCATTAAGTTTGCAGATGACACAACTGCGGTGGGACTCATCTCAGGGGAAGATGAGTCTGCTTACCGTGCTGAGGTCCAAAACCTGTCTCTTTGGTGCTCTGCAAACAACCTAATTTTAAATACTAATAAAACCAAAGAACTAATATTGGACTTTAGGAAATGCAGAGCTGACCCATCCCCCATTTTCATCAATGATCACTGTGTGGAAATAGTCCACAGTTGCAAATTTCTTGGAGTACACATTACAGGCACCCTCTCCTGGACTACAAATGCCACAGCCATTGTTAATAAGGCCAGGCAACAAATTCAATTCCTCAGGACTTAAAAAAGAAACAACCTCAGTAAGAAACTGCTGATAGCTTTCTACCACTCGACTGTTGAAAGCATTTTAACATACGGTATTATGTCATGGTATGCAGGCTGCTCTCTTGCGGGCAAAAAAAAAACACCACAGGGAGTTGTAAAAACTGCAGAAAAAGTCATTGGCCTTTCTCTTCCACCATTGCAGGACATTGCCAACACCCGTGATTACACTTGAGCCAGGACCATCAGTCCAGACACTTGTCACCCCAGTCATCACCTTTTCACCCTTTTGCCCTCAGGGGCATGTTTATCAAATTCAACACGATTAAATTTTATGACCTGGTTGACTTTAAAATCGCCCAATTAATGTACAAAGTACACAATAACCTGCTCTGCCAAAACATTCTGAAGTTTTTCGAAATTCGAGAAAGCAGCTATGATTTAAGAGGTACCAACTTATTCAAAAAACTCAAAACAAGAACAAACATCAAGCAAAGAAGTGTATCTATCAAAGGTGTTAATCTGTGGAATAATTTCGAAACGGACCTGAAAATGAGTAAATCGCTTGCTGAGTTCAAAAACAAATTCAAAAAAATAGTACAAAC